TGTATAAGATGAGGCCGGAGGCCAATGACATGTATTATGTATTCTATGCACTTTTACCTTCAACGTTTACTATGAAAATGTTGGAAAATCACTGGTCATTGTTTCATAACTTTTGCATCGGGCGTGGGAATTCCATTCTTTTTCTTTCGTAGAGTCTCTATGATCATGCATGAGGTATGGCCAAGGGCCAAACACCATTTTGTTCTACGTTTCACATTTTGGTTTCATTTATTTGCATTTTTAGCCATTTTTGGCCTTTGAGAGGTCATATTTTGCATTTAGGACATTTTGAGGCCGCGGACCATTGGGACGCACCTTAACTGTCTTTTTACGCATGCGTGCATGTCCACATTTCACAAAACTCTTAAGTTTCAACTTTTAACCTATTTTTGGGCGATTTTAAGAATTTTCATGAAAATTCATGCCTTGGGGCATCATTTTAGGTTCCTCCTTGTTTCGGCATGTTTTGGATGCTTGAATGAGGCTAGGAAGCATTTTGAAACTTGTTCGGTTCAGGTAGAAAGCATATAGATCCTTAGAAATGGACCAAGCACCTCACACACACATTGCAGCAGCTTTTTCTGCTGCAGTAGATGTGTCGGCCGGCTGATAAGGATCCATCAGCCTGCTGACAAGCCTCGAGGGTCCATTCCAGTAGCCTTTTAGTGAAAAATGGCGTTTCGGCCGGCTGATCCTTGGGGTTCGGTCGGCTGATGATTGAGCTTCAGCCGGCTGACCCTTGCCGTCGGTCGACCGATCCTCCCTGGAACCATCTTCCTCATCTTTTCCTTGGACAGCTTTGTTGTTCCAACTTTGGGGAATCATATCTCATTCATTTTAAATCCAAAATGGGTCATTCTTGAATCTAAGTTCAAGAGCTAGAAGTTAGCTTTCCAATGGTACCAATCACTCATCAAAACTCTACCTATAGTGAGAGTTATTCCAGTTCTAGTAAGATAGTGTCGTGGTATCTCTTAAACGGGAAAGGCCACTTTGTTTTAAATTCATAACTTTTCCGTCCGGACTCCGAATCAGGTGATTCTTGAGTCAAACTTTGTTCATTTTTCATTGTCTTTCCAATGGCGTGCTCGATAGCGCCCACTTTCATTTTGGAAATGACCATTTTGCCCTTTGGTTCATTCTTGTCCGTTTGTGAACTGTTGCTTCCACACTTGTTTTCTTTGAGTTCCATGACCTCAATGGGGGTCACATTGGTGTCTTAGGGACATGTGGTGTCTCTTGAGACCATTGTTTCATCTTTTGCTTCCGCATTCTGGATCCAGTTCGAGTCATCACAGGACATACTGGGTTGAAAAATCCAGGGTCGCCACACCAAATAAAATTCCTCATTCTCCTCTCAATGATGTTAACCACTGAGGCAGGGATAGTATAGACAGATGACCAATATTGGACCAGAGAAAATGACCACAGCCCTTACTATTTCCACCCTCCCAACCATTGAAATATAAATACCACTCTACCTAGTTGTAGTAGCCACAACTTTGTCAATAAGGCCCAAAAAATCATCTCTCTTCAAATTTTTATCAGAAATAGGTAAGCCCAAATAAGTAAATGGAAGTTTACCCATATTACAACCCAGAATTCTCATAATAGAAGCTTTCCTCTTCACAGGCCTGGTTAAGAAAATTTCGGATTTTTCCTTGCTCACAGAGAGACCAGAAACGGCCTCAAAATGTTTCATGATCTTCTTGAGAGTGAAAACAGTTGCCAGGTTAGCCCTCACCATAACTAATAAATCATCAGCAAAAAACTTGTGGGATAAAGAAATACCAGCTCTTGTAGCAGCTTCAGAGATTACCATATTACCTTTGTTCGCCTCAGCTTCAAAAACCCCTGAGAGATACTAAGTAACAAGGGTGAAAAGAAGAGGAGACAGAGGACATCCCTGCCTAATCCCTTTCTCAGGTTGAAAGAAGCCATAGGGGCTGCCATTAATCATAATAGAAAACCAGACTGATATGATACATTCTGTCACCCACCTAATCCAGACACTGCCAAAGCCAAACAATTTCATCAGATGTACCAAAAAAGACCAATGAACAGAATCATAAGCCTTTCTCAAATCCACTTTCCAAGCCAAGGTAGGTTTGGCATTTTTGGCACCAAAGCCTCTCATCAATTCATGAGCAATAATAATATTGTCCTTAATTTGCCTCTCTTTAATAAAGGCATTCTGTTCTTTCCCTACAATATTCCACAAGACCATATTCAATCTATTGGCTAAGATTTTAGTGATAACTTTGTAAATTACATTACACAAACATATAGGCCTGAAATCAGTTACCTTGACAACCTCTTTCTTCTTAGGAATTAGGGTTATAAAAGAGCTATTGATACCTTTTCCCATCACTGGATAATGGAAAAAATCATTCCCCACTGTATTCCAGTATTGTTGAAAAAATCTCACTGTGAAACCATCTGGCCAAGGTGCTTTGTCAGCCCCCATGCCAAAATGTTACATTTCTTCTTGGTCAAATGTTACATACTTAAACCATCTAATCTAATAAGAATTTGGGAAGTTCAATGTCCAGTGTATGTCCCACCTAGTCGAGGTGCCACGTCCCTCACAGTTAAAAATGCAGGATGTGGATTTGTTTTGCAGGGCTACTAAATTACTAATCCCCTTTCAGCTGTCTTTCTACCTGAACTGCCTTGAGCAGGCGAGCAGCTCCTGCGGTTTCGATGACCCCAAGGAGTTGGCAAAAAATATATAGATTGCTGAGTTTTGCTTTATTTTAGGAATATTGTTTTAGGATTTGGTTATTTGAGACGGAAAGGGAAAATAAACTAAATAAGTTGGAACAGAAGAAACAGCAATAATTCAGGCGAAAACCATCAAACCTTTGAACCTGGATTGCCAAGGATTTCCTCTGTGCTCCATCACTGGAAATTTCTGGAAGAGCTGAATTGAAGAGCATTGCCTGAATGCCAACTATGTTTATACCTTGAGTATTTTTGCAATTAAGTTGAAATTATATTGGAAATGTCATCTTGTTCTTCTTTGCTTATTAAAACTGTGTTAACTCACTCTTATAAGAACAGATAAACACAATTCACTATATGAAAAAAGAAGTTATATTTGACAGTTCCCACACCCTAGAGCCCTTAATTACCTCTTGACAGAAACTAATGCCAAACTCTCCACACAAGTCTTAAGGTTGTTCATCCACTCATCAACAGACTTCACTCCTCACAAATCCGCTTCTCTAGTAATTGTTCACCCTTCTGCTACGAAATTTGATCGGTTGATTTATATTGGTTTGTCAAATTCCTCCTTGATGAACATTAAATCACATATAATGGTGTCTATGACTCTATGGAAACCCTAGATTGAGTAATTGGCATTTCTACTCTCTCAAGGATTTTCTCTCTAAATAATTAGAAACTTCAAAATTCATACCTAGACTAACCATAACCCATATTTATAACCAATATAGGTAACCCAGATGTTTTATTAAGTTGAATCCTTATAAAATCTATTTTGAAAGAGTCTCCGTTCTCCAAAAATACAGGTCTGAAGGGTTTGATCAATAAACCCTTCATTCGACACCCTCAGAAGTTGCTTTGACCGATCGGCCATTCAATCGATGCTCTCAGTAATTCAACCCTTCAATTTGAGACAGTTCATCGAGCGATCAACTCATCAATGGATTTTTTTTTTTTTTAACCTCTCGATGGATGACCTTTGGAACCTGCCCAGTTAATTGACCTATTGATTGATGTACTCTACTGTTCAGTTCAAAATGCAGTTTTGAAGAATGTTTAAATCCTGTAACTTTGAAATGCCATTTTTCAAAAACACATTTAGAATAAAATTGTAAGCCCCACCATGATCAATCTAGGTCATATAAGGTTTTCTACGGTCAATTTACCTGCGCCATAGATATTTGATTGAGGATGTGGATTTATTGTCATGTTCTTTGTGAAACTGTGTCTGCCTTGTCTTCAACAGCTATACTCGAATGACTCAAGACATTTTGACACATTACAACCAAAGTTATTGGTAGGAGATCTCCAACACATGACTCATATACTTAACACCACTTCATTTTTTTTGAGTGGAAATGGAAAATAGAAAACCTGTATAGCAAGCAAAAACAATCAAACCTCTAAACCTGGAATCCAAGGGATTTTTCTGTACATGATAGCTTCCAGGACAAGCTGGGAGAACTGACTATCCAAGAACCTAGACAAGTTGTTCCAAGAAGTAAAGCCCATTCAGCCATATTGTGAGCTTCTCGCTTTGAAGCCCACTGAACTTAATCCATTTGTGTATGATCTTATGTCTGAAATGACATTTCAATGCAACAACATTGATATTAAGGTAAGTGGAATTTTATTACCTTTTGGCCAAAATATTACATTTCTTCTTGGTCAAATGTTACATACTTAAGCCATCTAATCTCATAAGCATTCGGGAAGTTCAATGTCCAGTGTATGTCCCACCTAGTCGAGTCGCACACGTCCCTCACAGTTAAAAATGCAGGGTGTGGATTTGTTTTGCAGGGCTACTAAATTACTAATCCCTCCTCAGCTGTCTTTCTACCTGAACCGCCTTGAGCAGGCGAGCAGCTCATGTGGTTTCGATGACCCCAAGGAGTTGGCAAGAAATATATAGATTGCCGAGTTTTTCTTTATTTTAGGAATATTGTTTTAGGATTTGGTTATTTGAGACAGAAAGGGAAAACAAACTAAATAAGTTGGAACAGAAGAAACAGCAATAATTCAAGCGAAAACAATCAAACCCATGAACCTGGATTGCCAAGGATTTCCTGTGTGTTCCATCACTGGAAATTTCTGGAAGAGCTGAATTGAAGTGCATTGCCTGAATGCCAACTATGTTTATACCTTGAGTATTTTTGCAATTAAGTTGAAATTATATTGGAAATGTCATCTTGTTCTTCTGTGCTTGTTAAAACTGTGTTAACTCACTCTTATAAGACCAGTGTATTCAATGAACCATCTCATTCCTCTTTCAGACATGGCTTGATCAATATTCAGGAAGACGCTACGGGAGATCTGTTAGAACAGTGCAAGATGCCTGGAGTATATTATATCACACGGTTTACAATTGCACAGATGGTTCCTATGTAAGTGAACCAACTAGTTAATTTCTGTATTTTTTACTGTATTAATAATATGTCAATGATTATTATAATGTATACTACAGTTAAATAGAGCAATTTTCTATTATTTCATTGACTGATATAAAATTGTTGATCTGTGAAACACTAAATCCACTATTTTCTTCTATAGACCTTTGAAATTTTCCTAAAAACTCTCATGCTGGTTGGATGAGGTATAAGATGATATAGTACCCAATAGTTGGTCAATAACTGAATTTGTAGTGGTTATGGAAGAATATGTAGAATTATTAAGACTTGTGTTTCCAAGCAACATTAGGTTTCTATTAACCAAGAAAAGTTACAAAGGAAGAACAAGTAGATGTAATCAGCCCTGCGATATGCCAAGTGCATCTGTTTCATTTGAATATGTACCTGTGATTATATTGGAACAGGATAAAAACAGGGACGTAATTGTGGCATTCCCAGATGTTGATCCATCTTTTGTTTGGATTCCGCAAGTTTCCATAAATGCAAGATATCACCACCATAGAAATCCTGTATCAAGGAGGGTTTTCCTAAAAGAAACTACTGACTCCTTCGATCAACCTCATCTCTGGTATTCAACTTCAGAAGTGATACGTGCCCTGGAGCTTTTCATTGCAAGTGGAGATGAACTATCAGGAAGTAGCACTTACAGGTTAGCCATGAAGGTCTCAGATCACATGATGTATATTTTAGCAGCTTTTTTATTTCTCATATTCTATGTAATTCTAAACCAATGCCAGTTTTTTCTACTGTCTCCTTTTCTTCATAAAGTATGATGTTACTAATGTATCCATTTGCCTTTTCCTATTGTTTCCTCAGGTATGACCTTGTTGACCTGACAAGACAAGCTCTAGCAAAATTCGCAAACCAATTGTTTTTAGATGTTGTAGAAGCCTACAAGTTAGGTGATATCCGTGGAGTTGCTCGCCACAGCCATAGGTTTCTAGACCTTGTGGAAGACATGGACACACTTTTAGCTTGCCATGATGGATTTCTTCTAGGACCTTGGTTAGAAAGTGCAAAGCAACTTGCTCAAGATGAAGAACAGAAAAAACAGGTGTGTCATCCTTTAGAGTAATTAGGTAATGTCTGATTAACTTATATGTAACTTGGCATATTGTTTGAATTGATGTGTATGTGATCCACATTTACAGTTTGAGTGGAATGCAAGAACTCAAATAACCATGTGGTTTGACAACACGGAGGAGGAGGCGAGTCTGCTTCGTGACTATGGTACGAGAACTGCTTTAGTCTCTTAAATATTACACTCATTACAAGTTCTACATGAATTCCTCTGCCCTTCAACTTTCAATGCTTTGTAGGATTAGGCCGTTTGTACTTTCTTTGTTATATTGATCCTTGAATTTTTAACCAAATATGATACTGTTACAAGAATTTTGCAGTATATTCATGTAGTTTTTTCTCCTCCCCCCCCCCCCCCCCCCCCCCCCCCCCCAACCCAACAGGAAACAAGTACTGGAGTGGGCTTTTACGAGATTACTATGGCCCCCGAGCAGCTATATACTTCAAATTTCTAATGGAAAGTCTAGAGAAGGGTGATGGTTTTCGATTGAAAGATTGGAGGAGGGAGTGGATTAAGCTTACAAATGACTGGCAAAATAGTAGGAATGTCTTCCCAGTGGAGAGCAATGGAGATGCTCTTTACACGTCCCAGTGGCTTTACAACAAATACTTGCGATCTGATACATACGATCACTAAATGAAGCTTCCGTTGTGCAGATGAAGTCTCAGACTCCCAGGTATGCAATCATATGAATTTCTCAGCAGAATGAGAAATCTGTAAAGCTGGTTTTCAAAGCTAAAACAAGTTTCGTATTACGAATTGTGTTCTCTCCCTGCCTCACTTTGTGTTCTTAGCTTTCATTTCTTCCTACTTTTATCTCACGAAACCCAAAAATTGCTTGTACATAAGCGAGTTTCGTGGAAATTTCCGGAGACAGACACGTCCAAGTGTGGGATTTTATTCAACTACTCTGAATAGAGGTTGATTATGAAGATGTTATTCATCCAACAAGCTAAAATTTATTAATGAATAGAGTTTGATTTAGCTATCTTAAGAAATTGCTACTCGCTAGAGGCCATAACCCACAGATTAACAATGATAGATGATGTACGAGTGATATCACTTGACTTCCTGTAAAAAACTATCCATTAGTTTGATAGAGCTATTTATGAAGAATTAATAATTGAAAATTTTTAGAGGAAAATGGTGAAACAGAATTTATGTAACTAACTCTAAATGATTGAAAATAGTAGAGTTAATTATTGAAATTGCTTTGACATGTGATTTTTACTTTTTAAAACTTTTATTTTTTATTTGAAATGAAGGAAATTTGCCCTCTCCCTTCTTTTATTTGGTAGAGTGGAAGGGAAGAAAATGATTGTTGAAATGGAGGACTTTAATCATTATTTTATTATTATTATCCTCACTGTATATAATGCATATATGAGATATATAAAGTTTAGGATAAATTACATTAACTTTCCCTCAAGTTTGGGCAAATTACACATTGATAAATTGTTAACATTTATTATTTTCACCTCCCCTAAATCGATTCGCCAGCAATTGGAATGGGACTTTGAGTGTGAAAAGTCAGTGATTGCATGATTTTCATACAAGAGAAAGGTAAATTTGTCATTTTATAAAAATTTGGTCTTGCCAGAAGGAAAACGTTAAGGTGTTGTTGAGAACGTACTAAATTTCAGAAAAGGTCAAGTAATAAACCGAGTAATTTATCCAAATTGAATAGGTGATGATGGTAGGAATATGATTTCTTGTCTCCTACCATGCATTGTGTAAAGAATGATGTTGAGAAGGAAATTTCGTCTCCCCAACTCATGTCCTTGTTTGATGAAGGGTTGTCCTTTCTTGACCAGATCCCATACTTGAATGTGAAGTAGCAGTATGGCCCCTATGTATGACAGCTATATCACCACCATACATTGTCTTAAAAAGGCTGGGTCTTTCATCACAAGTACCAACTCTTTCCATCATTGATTCACATGCCCTCAGAGGGAGACACGGAGAGAGAGAGATGGCCAAAGTTTAAATCATCAGTGTTGTAGTTAGTACAATAACTACTGAACTACCCCCCACCTATCTGCTGGAAAATTTTAGTCTGTTCAATTTTAAAAATTATGAAAAAATTACTTCACGTGGACAACTAATTTTTCATTATTAATCATAGTTAACAGAAAAAATCGTTCAAGATTTTCCAATCTTAAGCTTTTAATTTGGTTATCAATTAGCAAGACAGCATAGTGAAAAACTAGAAATTGGTCATTCTTAATTTATATAAATATATATTATTTTATTTATTTTTGTTTACAAAATGTTGATCAGATTCCATTTCCAAATTTGAGACAGATACTGAATATTGATATTTTGGCCCTCATTTTTTTTTTTTTTTTATAACGGGTGTCCGGGGCTTTGCCCCGACTAATTCACGGACCTGTGTAAGGCGTCCTCCCTCCTTATATGAATCGGATAAAACTCGGACTACGTATATGGGCGTGGTCCCTAAAGAATTATTTACACTTAGGAATAATCGATCTCGAGACTTGATATTTCATTAAATAAAACTCAGACTATGTTCGTGGGCGTGACTCTTAAGGAATTATTTGCACAAAAGATGAATCAATCCTGAACTTGATATTTCATGAGGCATCAGACTCAAATCTTTTCCAAGGTTCTAACTTGTCAATCCTTTGGGTTTCGGTCTTTTTGGGTTGAAAATTTTCAACTTGAGCAAATTCAATTTGCTTGGAGTTCCTAATCTGCAATAGAATTTGCCTTGGAGAAAGTGAATAAAATCTCTTTTAGAGTTATGAATATTATTTGAAAATATAATAAATTAATTATAAATTTACCCCAAAATATTATGTTAGTGTAGCAATAGATCTACTTAGGAATTTATGGCTCTCTCTTATTTCTGTATGGCTTGTGCTTTAAGAAATTAACAGCTAAGGTAAGGTAAGGTTTTATTTTATTTATTCTCACATGGTTTTAGACTGATCTAAAGAAGCGCCATAATCTTTGAGAAACTTTTGGAATTTCCTCTCCTTTTTCTCTTTTTAGTTTCTAAGCAAGTTCATAAATGATATAATTATCAAAAATAAAGTTCATAAATGATATATATATATATATATATAAGATGGCCCGTTCAGAGATTGGACATGTATATAAATGGGCATTGTCCCTCAATCAACTGCATGCACGTTGTTGGTTGGAGAAAAGAACCACTAGTGTTACTTCTTCGCGTTTTTTAAAAAAAGATCGACAGTTTAAGTTTTTTAAAAGTTAAGTGACTTGCGTGTTATTTGTCAGATTAAATAAATGAATAAAAATTGAGAAGATGAGGAAACAATGGAAAATGAAAATTAAAATAAAGATAAAAGATGATCGAGGATAAGGGAAGACTGGTTTTCATAAAGGGTTTGATTAAGTTTTAAAAAAGTTAAGTGACTTGCGTGTTATTTGTCAGATTAAATAAATGATAAAAATGTATAAAAATTGAGAAGATGAGGAAGCAATGGAAAATGAAAAACAAAAAAATAATAATAATAAAGAAAAAAGATGATCGAGGATAAGGGAAGACTAGTTTTCATAAAGGTTTGATTATGTAGAGAAAGACTCTCATCTCATATTCTCTGGAGGTTGAGAGTTCAAATCTTCTTGGAGTATTTTTATGGAATTTTTTTTAGTAATTGTCTGGTGCATGTGAGATGAAGGGAACTATATGTGTTCAGTAGTAATTGTCCGATGCATGTGAGATGAAGTGGATTACATGTGTTCAGAAGTAAATTATTGAGTGTTCTAAGAGATCTGACACGACTGTTGTTGAGAATATATATATATATATATATATATATATATATATATATATATTATGGAGAGAAAATTGGAAACATTGAAGGGAAGCAATCAGAAGGATTAAATTAACTCTTAATTTTTGTTATAATATAATGTATCTGTACCTTGTATCAAGATAATGAACTTCTTTTCAAATCACCTCATCTTTAGGTGATACATGGACCATTATATGACTTAACAATCTTCGTACATTTTCTACGAACTAGTTTGTAAACCATGATAGAAATGTTTGAAATGCAAAAATAAAAAATAAAAATAAAAATAAAATCAGCAACCAAGAAAATGAAATATAAAAAGTCACAGGTTTGCAAATGATTATCTTATCCTAGTCATGGATTGGTCTCAGCATAAGTTGGGTAGCAGTTACAAAACCACTATGTTGATTCACAATGATGAGAGAACGCTTTCAAATTTATGACTAATTAGGTTCATGTTGTTGTCCCAACCACTAGACAATGATTTTCTAAGTACTTTTACCACTTTACATTTTTTCGAAGCATTTTTCCTACCTTATTCATTATTTAATTTTAATCAAAAAGAGATATTTGTTTGACATTTTTGGAGTAATTGTCTAATTTTCTTGATTGTAATCGAGATATCTCATAAAGTAACTATTTTGATAGCATGGGAAAGTGGAATTCATCCGTTGCTTTTTTCTTTCCATTTACTCGGATCTCTTCCGTTTCATCGATTTTGTCTGGATACATTTGGGACAACATGATTGGATGTGAAGCCCATGCCCGGAGGGAGTTAAGGGCCGGGGGACTCCCACTGGTGGACCCAAAAAAAAAAACTCCGGTATTATGGTACCCGGTATTATTCTATATATTTTTCTCAAAAATAACAATCTCTTTCTGAATATATCCAACTATATATATATATACATACTCTCCTATAAACGCTGATCGATATGCGTTGTGTGGCCCCTAAAAAAAAATCTGGCTTTGTCCTGCATGAAGGTCCACAAAAAAAAAGAATAATGTTAATAAGAAATCTCTCATGTGCAGAGTTACGAGCACTCTTAAGCTTTTTAACTTACATATATTAAATAATGATTTAATTTTTTACATATTTTTAAAAATAATTTCATTCAATGATAAAATAAGGAAAGCTCGTGGCACTCCTAATAAGAGATATGAGCATTACTCAAATATATATATATTATATATCCAAGCATTTTTTTGCTAGGTATTTAGAATATTCCAAGTGTGATTCGTTTAACATTGTCTCGCGAGTCTCAAGTATAAAAAAAAGTGTAAGCATATCCCATGGTATAAATGATATATGAGCCAAAGAAATAAACCGACCGCACGCATATCAAACCACAATTCAACCAGTTGGTTATATTTGCATTTATGTGGACTCCATGTGAGCTATCATTTTTTTTTTCTTTTTCTCGGGTCCACTTCATTTACAGCTAATTCTTAATTCCTTTAAGATAAGTTTAACTTAAATGACAAACATATCTCTAATTCTTGATTTTTCTACTTATGAGTTTAAAAAAAAAAAAAAAATTACTCGTATGTTATTTCATTTTAAGAGTGGAATGTATTTGGTTAAATGAGAGTACTGCTCTTTTGTGTAATGTCTCTTTTTATGATCTCATGAACTCAATTAAGTGCGATCCGTCATAATTTTAATGATAAAAAGGGCATTTAACTCAACTCATTGAAACCTTATTCTAATTATGATATTGAAATATAACCGAAAAAATTTAAGACCTTATCCAAATAATTAATGGAGAGGTAGAGAGTTTTAGTAATACTAAGGAGCAAAGGATCAGCTCCCCAAGTCTACAATATTAATTGGCTCATTTTTATGGACAAGAATCCTCTTCAGCGCAGGAGAGGTCCAGCACAGAATTCAATGGTTGAGATTAAACTGATAAATGCGACAAGTAGTGATGATGCAATCTCAACCACTGGATTATGTGTTGGATCTCTCTTACAGTAGAGAAGATC